AGATGTTAAAATAACTCTTAGAGGTATCATGCTGTAGCTGCTAGATAATAAGACTTTATTTATTCCCTTTTTGGCCAAATGTCCCCAGGAAGTACCATCCTGGGGAAAAGATTCTGCCTTTTCAATGCTTAACAATCTTGTAGATTATGAGGTAGCATTAATCCCATTTTAACATTGGGACCTAAAAAGTTGTATTAGAAACCAAAAAGAGCTAACTCACCACCCAAAGAGCCAACACACAACCAGCAGGATTTAACTCTTGAGTGCAGAACTAACAAATATTAAAGCTAGCACTGGCTAATGGCTAAAAGCTCAGGTGTTGGAATTACCTCAGATCCAGATGTTTTGGTTGGATATTCTCGGGCAAGTTACTTGAAGCCTTCGGGCCTTCATCTAAACAACAGGACTGACAACCTCATAGAGTTGTCTGTGTGAATAAAATGACGTAACCCATGGCAAGTGTCTAGCACATGTAAATGCGCAATAAATATTACTGTGAGTTACTATCACAATGATGATGATGCTACAAATAATATCAAGACAGTCAAAACTTGATTCTCATAGGATAGATATATATTATTAATTTAAATGACGAGTGAAGAAGATACCAGGTACTTTGTTGATAGTTAAAAACTATACATTAATTGCTTAAGACATCATTTTATGGTATAAGCTTAGTAAATCTAGGATTTATTCACTGAACTCCTATGTGAGTTGTGGAAAATACAGAGACGAGAGAAAATGACCTTTAACCTCAGGGAATTTATGTGATAAACACAGATAACAAATCACAATTACCATAACTGTGGCACCATAAAGAGAGGTATAAAAACACTATGGAACATTCCCTTAGAGATTTGTGGAAAGCTTCCTAAAAACACTTAAGAACCTTCTCTTTGAAAGCTGCCCTGGGCTTCCTCTTATCAAATCACCAATCAGGAATTAACATCCTCCAAGTCTCTTAAATCAACAACCAGGAGTTAATACTCAAGTCTCTTTCGGTTAGGCCACACACCTAACTGTGACCTCACCAATGTTATTAAAATACAGAAGTTCACTTCACATCTATGTCAATGTCCTTTGATAAAGCCAGCAACCTTTACAATGAAATAGGGACTTGAAAAACTTTTCAAATGGCTTGACTTTCTTTCTCTGTAAAGAGTTACTGCTTTTAGAATACTGGTTCTAAGAAGGGTGAACTTGTGTCCAGTTAAATTATACTTATTCCTCCTCATGAGGCAGTGATAGAAGAAAGTTCTCTCAGACTCGCGGTGAACCAACCAATATGAATATATAGGAGGAGAAAGATCCATTCACACATAGGAACTATCTAATTGATAGAATTTATAAATAGATCAAAGAGGCAAGCCACACTGTAATAGAACTGAATGTGCTCCACATGCTCAGGGGATTTGGATTCAGAGTCTCAAAAGAAATCTGTAACAAGTCAATGACAATGAACAGTTCAAGTAATAAGACTACGAGTCATCTAAAAGTGATTGTGTACATAATGATGGTGTTAATCTAGTTGATGGGGATCACTTTTGGAATGATTCTGTTAAAGACTGGTCAATATTCCCTCTCCAGTAATGATACACCATCTAGTATCTAGTTTATGGTTTCATCATTTCATTTGGTTTAAATAAAGACATGTACTTAAACCACTTTTAAACCACAGGCAACCTGGATTTCGCATAGTAAGTTAGGTGATTCTACAGCTATCATAATACTATAATTATTTTTCTTGCAATATGCACTATTGGATTTAGCACTTTTAGATCTTCTAACATGAACTGTATGTAGAATTTCTAATAGAAATGGTGAGACATTGCACTTTTCACTGTCAGCACAATACAAGGGGAACTCTTTTTAAAATCTTCTGCATTAAGCCTACAAAATGCTTCATCACGGAGACCTACATCTCTCAAATATTCCTGGAAGAAATCCAATTGAACGAAATTAATGTAGCTACTTCAGGAAAGGCAGTAATAAACAAAGATGATTTTACAGAAATGGAGAGAAGACAGCAGGAAGTTGAACAATACTCAAATAATTTAATGATTTTTAGTGTTTTGTACACAATGAAAAGTAAGTAGATATTCTTTAATGGCAATGGCTTTTGTTAAGCATTTTCCAGTTTTCAAAGAGCTTTTATATACATCATCTTATCTGGTCCCCCCAATAACTCACAAACGTGAGCAAGGAACAGACTATTATCCCCACTTCATAGATAAAGAAGCAGAGACCAGAAGAGATTAGGTGACTTGTCAAATAACTAGATGACAGCACCATGCCTTCTGACTCCTAGTCCAGCCTGGAGTTATTAGGTATTAACTAACAGTAGTGTGATTATTCCACCTTAGGATTTTTCTAAGCTCACTGGTACTCTCAGTTTTCAGTTAAAATTCCTAAAACACTACTTTCCAGCCTTATCTTCAAAAAGGAAAAAATATTTCACCTATATAAAAAGCTGCTGACTGCAATGACTTGACATCATCACACCATCTCCATCTGATCTACCACCATGTGTTCTAACTTGAGGCCAAAAACAACAGTTAGCTGCTGAGCAGACTGGTTTCATCAGCCAAGATCGAATCCTCTCAGTATATCACACTAATCACTGAATGACCTCCATCAAATTGGTGGATTTATGAGTAATGGGTGAATATTTTTCATTGCCTTTTCTTGTACCTGAGAGCAATCAATGACAAATCCAAAAGGTACCGAGCACAGTAATACTTGATAGCAAAGAAAACTGTCACTGGGTGGGGAAAAAAGCAGGTACTGGGTAAATCACCTCAAAAACTATCAGTCATTCATTTTATTCAGCTAATATTTACTATCAGGCACGGTGCTTGGAAGGGTTGAGGTAAACTAACAGCTGACTGAGCGGTCACTCTGTGCGGGACACTACAGTAGGTGCTTTATGAGAATGAGCCCATTTAACAAATCCGTGAGGTAAGTACTATTATATCTTCATTTTACAGCTGAAGAAACTGAAACTTGAAGTAACATGCTACAAAAACTCAGCAGGTAAATGTCTGTTCAGTGCATTCAATCCAAGTCAGAGCCTGTGTTCTAAACCAGGGTTCTACAGACTAGAACTCATGAGTCAGATCCCGCCTGCTCTCTGTTTTTATATAGCCCTAAGAGTGGTTTCGGGTTTTTGAGTGGTTTGGGGGGTGGGGGGTCCAAAGCAGAGTATTTCATGACATACAGAAATTATGTGAAACCCAAGCTTCAGGGTCCGTAATTGGAACGCAGTCGCAGTTGCCGACTGACATACTGGCTACGGCTGGTGTCACGTTACAATGGCAGCGCCCAGCAGCTGAGCTGAGAGCTGAGTAGTCGAGACAGAAACCATACACAGCCAGCGAAGTCTAAAGTATTTCCTATCTGGCCCTTTACAGAAAAATGTGCTCACTCTTGCCATAAGCCATTCCACTTGATGCTTTTTTTATCATCTCTATTTGGATGTCTTAACAAATATCCCAAACTTAAAGTATTTAAAATCAAATTCCTGATTTTTCTGCACTACCCACAAGAAGATCCGTATCTGCATAGTCTTCCTCTATGGAAAAGCCATCCTTCTAGGTATAAAAGCCATAGATCGAGAGTATCCTTGAGTTCTTTCTTTCACTCATGTTCAAAACCATCAACAAGCCTGATCAGCTCTGCCTTTGAAACATGCAACCCCATGCTTCATCCCCTCCATGGCTAGCAGCCGGTCCCAAGCCATCACTATTCCTTTTCTGAATTACCGCCATTACCTCTTCTTAGGTCTGTCTTGCTTCAGTTCTTGCCTAAGACAAAAGCCAACATGCTCTTCCACTCACAAACCCTCTAGCCTTTCCAACATGAAACACACAGCCCTGCTTCAGGGCTCTGTTGCTGGTTGACTTCCCATTACTGCAGACCTCTTACCAAAAGCCACCTATTAGGCCCTCCCTCTCTACCAGATCCCACACCCTATACTCCAAGGCCCTGGGACTCCTTTTTCTCTGCTTCATTGTTCATCCATAGAATTGCAAACTGCCATCCACTATATACACTTCAGCTCCCTGAGGACAAAAGTTTAGTTAATTTTCTTCATTAGCATTTCTCTGGCACTAGCCTGGAGCCTGACATGTATTAGGTGATTAAGCAGACATCTGTTCGATGAATGAAGAAATGATCCCTGTATGCAAGAAGCATGCACACTAGTGACGTACAGACATGGGTGAGCATATTTAATGTGTAAATAACTGTACTGAATGGGACTTAATACTGTATTTCTTATTGTATCTACTTTCTTATTAAACATCTTACTCTAAACAACCAAATTTTAGAGCTTTCCATCAAAGGGAAGAAAGATCTAGCTTTGTATGGCCCATGTGTGAAATGATTCTAGACAAATCTACTTTACTGAACGGGGGCACTGATGAGGGGGCTCAAATTCCCATTCTGAAACCCACAGTCTCCTGTTTTAGCTTTAATTCCTGCCTTTGCATCTCTGTCAAACTCTAGGGCCTGCCCAGAGGTACTGCCTCAACTCCTCTGAACTCTTCTTCCTAAGTCCTACTGTTCAACTCCTGCCCATTTCTTAGCCACAAATGCAGTGAAACTGAGATTACACAAAGACAATATATCCATTAAAACACTTCCATTTCTACGAACCCACTCAAGTTTCGTCAATGCTAGGGAGAGTCAAGAGTAGCACTCTACTGTTTGACCTGGAGGCAGTGCAGCTTCTAAACATTTAGGGACAAAATACCCGCGGGGGGCGGGGGTAGGTAGCTGCAGAGTGATAAATGCCTCATTGAACCAATAACGTGACCATACCCCAAAACAGCCAAAGAAGAAATAACATTCCCTGTGAGAATGATCTACCTGCTTGGCTTCTTCACTTCCTTTTAACTAGGAAAAGCAGCTACAGTTCTAATTATTGGTGCTTAAATAAATATACGGGAAAGTTGCAGATGTGGTTCTAGAAGAGAATCAACGACAAGAAATAGTCATACCCTCTCCTCCAGTCTAGCCAGCTGCTCTTTGTAGAATGCATCCTGCTTCTTTATCACTCGATCTTTCTCTTCCAGCTGCTTAGCCTAAAAAAAGAAATGAAGAATAGACTATATCAAGAAAAAGCAGCAACAGTGAAGCAAAAGTCAAGTATAAATTACATTAGAAATAAGTACATAGAGCTGAAGATTTTTGCAATCTATTAGGTCTCTGCCATAGAACAATATTAATAAGATGATGATTGCTGTATTTAAATGTAAAGGAGTCTACATTTTTTTTTTTTTTTACTCTGACAGCTGTGTCCTACTTTGTCAAAAAGTATCAGAATACAGCACAGTTTTATTTAACTCCTATGGAAGAGTAATTTCAAGGATTAATATTTTGTACAATAAAACTTAGATTTTATTCCAAGCATAAACCACATGGTTATTAACCTTTTTTCTGAACAACAAAATACCTATATGACATTTTCTACATAAATCTTATGTTTGAGAGTCCTTAAATTACCCATTGAAACCTGCACCTAAGTACATGTATTGGTCTATTTTCTTTTTTATGAAGCAGGGGGCAAAAACCACTGTAAATGTTTATTTGAATAATTAAAAATTAATAGTAAGAAATAAAAATAGTTAAAGTAATTATAAAACTCAGTCATCCCATTTCCAATTTATAAGATTTTTTCAAAATTAAAAAAAGGTAATAAAAATTTTTTGATACTTGAAAAATAATGATAAAGATGGTTACTTATGGATGTTTTTCAAGGTTAATAAAAAAATGCATTTTTCAAACTGTTGTTTGTATCTTGATCATTACATTTAAGTGATCTTTATCTCTGAGAACAGACCTCCCTGTCTCACACCCCAAGTTAGAAAAGTTTTTAATATATTTTTGTTCAGTAAATGCTGAATACACACTTGACAAGGAATTTTAAGATATCCAGCAAGTATGCATTTTGGCATTCCCACCCTTATGCCGCATACCACATTTTTTTGCAGGGTGATCAAGGGTCACTTGCCTCAACCTTGTGTGAGGGTGATTTCCACTATCTGCTTTTATAAGTTTACGTGTACCCATTTTACACATATATAGGTCATTGCTTTGCTACTTACTTTGTCTTCAATGTCCTGCAGCATGTTAAAAACAAACAACAATTACTTAACAATAGAAGTAGTATTTTTTCCTAATGTCACAAAGAAATCTGATAGATAATATCTAAGATGCAAACCAAAGAAGGCAATAGGGGGAAAAAAAGATCAGAGAACTTGCTTAACTTAGGACACAGCCAAATGTCAATGTGCTGCTACAGTTTGAATAGAAGATTTCAGTGAAAAGTTCATGCTGCTTGAAAGCGTATGAATAAATTTAAAAAGATACAATAATAAGATTACATTAAAATATATTCATATGCAAGTACATAATAATCAATGGCTCCTTGGTACAACATAGTAAAAACCTGACTAGCCTGTCAGGAATATAAAAGAAAAAGGAAACAGAGAAAGAATTTTTAACAAGAAAGTATGCATGACAATATGATCTACAGAGAAAAGGTATTTCTAAATTCAACACATACACACCCAAAATAGAAATAAAGGAAATGTAAAAGAACGGTTTTATGAGACCCTCTGTTAAAAAAAAAAAATCATTAAACCAAACAAATAAGCAAATGACAAAAAGAGGAAAAGAAACCACAACATGTAACTATGAGAGTTAAAGTTACTAAAATACAGAACACTAAAAAAAAAAAAAAAAAAAAAAAAGCCCTCTACCCCTCCACCAAAAAAGCCAAAAGAAAAGTACACAAATGACATACACTGGTAATTCACACACAAAAATACAAATAATAAACACATGGGAAAAAACCCAACCCTAAGAGAAATCAAAGAATGATAATTAAAATAATGAAATACCATTATTCATCTACTGAACTGACAACAATATAAAATAGTAATAGTAATGTCAGATACAGGAAAATAAGCTCTTCTATACATGACTGGTCAGAATGTAATTTGATATAACCACTTTTTAAATCAATTTGACACAATGTAATGTTTTTAAAATGTACATATTCACTGAGATCTAAACTCTATTTTTAGGACTTTTCTTTTTTTTTTTTTTAACTGTAGATCTTTTTTTTTTTTTAATGTTTTATTTATTTATTCATGAGAGTCAGAGAGAGAGAGAGAGAGAGGCAGAGGCAGAGGAAGAAGCAGGCTCCCCGCCCAGCAGGGAGCCCGATGTGGGACTGGATCCCAGGACTCTGGGATCATGACCTGACTTTTCTTAAGTAATTATGACAATATACAAAGATGTTCAAGATAAAGTTGTTTAGAATTGCAAAGATGCAAAAATAAAAATCAATTTAATGGCTAAATAAAAATATCTTCAAAATATACTAAGTAAAAACGGAACAGATTATAAACAAAAAGGACAGTATAATCTCTTTTCTTTGTAGGGAAAGAAAAAAACCAGAAGGATACTCAACAAAATGTCAACAAAAGTTACAGCAGAATGGTAGGTTTATGGGTGATTTCTAGTTATTCCTGCTTCTTTATATTTTCCAAATTAAAAAAAAAAATCACATACTTTGTAGTCAAAGGACACAGGAGGGAATTTTCTGAGGTGGGAGAACTAGTCTGCTTGTTGATAATGGTGGTGGTTACACAATTGTATGCATTTGTCAAAACTCATAAAACTACATAGCACAGAATGAATTTAACTATATAAATATCTTAAAGTGTATACAAATTAAATACACTAAAATTCATGAAAATAACTACATATAAGTATATGGATGGACGTGTGCATATATCTTTGCTATTGTTAATCTGCTTATCACTTGGCCAATTTTATTCTAGGCATTTAATCCTAGGAAATATTAAGAAAAGCACACAAGGATTTAGATCTAAGAAAATAAAACCAATGTTACTTAAAGCAACAAACAAATGGGAACAATAGAAGGTTGTATAAATAAGATTTGGTCCAACAGGATACTGATTATAATTTTAGTCCAGACACAATGACCAAATATTCAGAGCCATCAAAAAAATAATGGCTTGGAAAAAAGTATCTATTATGCCAAGATATTAACAGTGGACAGGATATGCATAGTGGGATATTTTTTATTTGGACTGTTCTTTACTTTCTAAATTTTCTAGAATGAACAATTACTACTTCTGTAATCAGAAAAAATATTTCTTAAACATTAATATCACATACATGTATCCCTGACTACGAGATGGAAACATAATATGAGATAGAAGCTCAGAGTGAGGTATTTAGTAATTATATTAACAACCAAATTGTTTTAACAACTTGAACAATTATTTATAGCCTGGAAATTCTCTTACCTACAAAATCCTTAATGTACCAGCACTTGATTCTCTCTCCCATTCAATGTATGACATTACCCACCATGGTTCTTAAAACACTTGCACTAAATGTTTCTTTCATTCACAGATAGTGCACAGTGAGACATTTTTTTAAAATGCAAAGAAAAAGTAATATATTCTATTATGGTCATTTAGAAAACACTCAAGAATTCAATACTACAAATATATTGCTTAAGTCTACTGAGGACTACATGCACCAAAAAATTTGATTTTGAGGAGCAATGTAAATAAAAGATACATAGTAATGTCCTCATTCACTTTTCTAAGATGTAATCTTTGAAAAAATTTAAAGCAACATGTGAAAAGGTCAGATATACACACTAAAAAGGAACTACCTCCAAAGACCCGAAACCACCAAGCTATGGCCTAACATCACAAATCTTTCCCTAGACAGCCAACAGAATCAATAGTTTGAGATCCACTGGGGAGAATAACAAAGCAAGAAACACGGCCACAGCACTTTAACGGCACATTGCTTTGAAACAGTTAATGTGATGCTGGGAGGGAAAGTCACACAATATGAATCCTGAAACTTAAATAAGCCTGGAATACATTGACTAAGCTAATAGCTGCCAAGGATGGAGAGTCACACTCAACTTACGAAAAAGCAGTAAACCAAGTGCAAGGAAATAAAACTTCTACGTATAACTCTCTAACAGAGAGAGAATCATTTTAAATGAACAAAAACAAAGAGGATTACAACATTACTTATTGTTATAGAACCATTCCTTAGGGGGAAAAAAGAATATAAAAAATTTCCCCTCTTTTCTTGTTTACTATTACTCTCACTACAAGAAATGTGCACTGATTAGTTTTCAGATCCTGTTAGATTCGGGATAACATGATTGGGCTGAAAACATGACAGAACTTAAGTGGATCATTATGGAAAACTAGAGCACCCCATATGCAAGAGACACAAAGAAAATAAGGAAATCAAGTTTTCTTTAAGAAACCCAACACATAAATATTTCAATGTTTTAACTCCGTGTTGGTAGCTAGATTCAAAATGAAGTTCCCATATGTTAACTTCTTTAAGACTTGCTTCTTTTCAGAAAGGATCTGAAGGTGCTTATGACAAAGAATATAATAAGGTCAACAGAAGTAAAAACTGGGATTATGGGGTGCCTGGGTGGCTCAGTTGGTTAAGCGACTGCTTTCGGCTCAGGTCATGATCCTGGAGTCCCGGGATCGAGTCCCGCATCGGGCTCCCTGCTTGGCAGGGAGTCTGCTTCTCCCTCTGACCCTCCTCCCTCTTGTGCTCTTTCTCTCTCTCACTCTCTCTCTCAAATAAATAAAATCTTTAAAAAAAAAAAACTGGGATTATGGATATGACATACTGTGCTGGTGGGAACTTTACCTTCCCACGTATATTCCTAGGTAACTCTTCATAGCGAAAGGTTTTTGGCATAGTAGCTCAGCCTTCTCAGCCCTGGTTGCTCCTGAGGACTACGGTGTGGCACAGGGTACATGGCCTGGAGAACCTGGTGACATCACAATCACCTAGCTCAGAGGTTGTATTGTTACCTTGGACATCAAGTACAAGGCATGTTAAAGAAAGATTCTGGGCTAAAGCTCGTACACTTGATTTTATTTTATTTTTATTTTTTAAAGGTTTTTATTTATTTATTTGAGAGCGAGAATGAAAGAGAGAGAGAGAGAGCACATGAGAGGGAAGAGGACCAGAGGGAGAAGCAGAC